CGCTGCAGTTTCTTACTCTGGTTGTAATTGTGTAACTCATCCGAACTTTGTATGTTTACTGCGGTCTGCTGAAGGTCGTGACTCGCAAACGCATTTAACTGATCCTTGAGATGTAACTGGCGATATACTGCACTGATCTCACTTCTCATTTTGATGTATGACCTTTTGCTTTTAGTACATGAGAGCGCAATTCCTACTTCCGGCTACAATTTGCCATGTTTAACCGTCCGAATGTATTATATGTTTGTTAGGTCATGTTTTGCCGTATATGCAGTTGTTCATTCACTACAGACATCCACTTTTAACACAACGAATGCTTATGTTACTCCAACCCACAAACATTTGTTAATTACTCACATTTTGAACTTTATCGCGTATAGCAATTTCATCAACAGTCAATGCAATGTTACTTTTACAACACGATGCGAGGCATTGTTCACTTTGATAAAAGGAGCCACTTCGTTTTTAGTTGATATTTTGATGTAAATTTTCGCTCAGCCGATCCACTCAACGCTGTCTCTGAACTGAACTTCCTTTCCCTCACAGTAGTCCCTAGTTCAACTTGGGCGTCAACTAATGAGCCGATTACTCATTGGAGCTTTTCTCGTCGTGTCAATTCTCTGCCTCTTACCAAAAATGTTACTATAAGTGGATTACTAAAACGCCTAGTGCTTTGAGTTTCTCCGCAACACCATGTAGCGGTGTTTGGAGTAGTTGCCTCATGCTGGGCCGTGATCGTTGACGTTTGACAGTGGTACAGCGAAGACCAATGCCGTTCGGAACAGCTCGGTACTGCTCAAACTCCACGAAGTTCCCCTGTATATATGTGTGTGTGCATCCTTGACAGTGGTTGAAAATATGGTTCTCAGTTCCGCTCTCATTCACTCGGGCTTGGACGTTGAAAGGAACATTCTGCGGACCAGTTCAACTGGTCCGGAGTGTAAAGTTCTCTTTAATGGATTTCTGTCTTTTCCCCAGAATATTGACACTTCGGCGTCGATCCTATATGGCTTAGCTCGGTGAGGCGCAACTTTGCATCGACCCTGATGACGTTTCTCCGTCGTCATTTTAGACAGCAGCGACGCCGTAATTCGTTCAAACGTTCCTTACGACGCATTACCGCATCCACCTGAATCGCCTTTCTGATTACGTTTGTCCAATGAAATTGTGCCTCGTAAAGTGTGCCAGAGGTCTGGGATTTTAAATCATCGAGACATTTGCCTCAGTACTGGTGCCTCTGATTCGCTAGGGTGACTCATTCGTTGCTTACTGGCTATCGAGATGTCTTAACTAGTGAAAGCCAAACAGGTTCTCCTTTAGTGTAACGAGTCATCGTTCACCTACTCACATTTCAACAGCTAATATAACGGAGTCTAATATCCACACGCCTGCCATCGCAGATGTATAGGCCGTTTTTCGTTCTCCAAGTCAAATTTGTTTTAGTACTGTTCATAGTTGAGGCGTGTGTCGGAGAAATCTGTCTCATTTTTACTCATTCATGGATCGGTTCGCCGAAGGAACTTTCCTTACTTCACAAAAATGTGTTAGATTCCTCAGTGCCAGTCTCTCCTTGGTCTGCGCACTTGAATCGCCCTTTGGCCATCCTTTAGTACAGAGCAGCGTTCGCGTCATGTGGCTCTTTCGTCTTCACTACGGTAAGGTATTCAGGTTAGTATTGAACGATTTCGCTCAGTAAATAAAATCGAATAAATTGCGTCGGATACGTTCTACACATGACTGTCAACCGCTTTGCAGAAATTTGATCTGGGGTGTCATCTCCTGAATTACCTAAGTTTGGGGAGAGTAATCATTGCCCTGCCAACCGCTGAAATTTATGCTATTGGTACGCGTTTTCTTCCAATCTGAGATCCACGTGACCCATACTATGCATGATTCGAGAAATACAGATCATGGTTTACAATATACACCGTGACACAATTGTTGTGGTCTTGTGATTCACTTGTTTGTTTACCATTTCTACCATGCTTAATTATCATTGAACTAAGGTTACTTATCACGTGTTTTCTAAAACTTTACCGCAGCCGCTATACCATTACTGTTTCTGACACTGGTTAGATCAATATAGAGAAGGTACATCAGTGCGCCTGCACAAATGCCCGATCTACTGATGCTTGTAGTCTTAGTGAATCATTCAACAGCGCGGGAACAAGGAAGGTGTTACACGTCGCGTGCTTGGTGCAAGAAGAGCGAGTGAACCGCTGAGTATTGTTTTATGGAGCGCCGGGCTCCTATACCTGCCCCACCTGTTACGCATGTCAACACATCGACTCCCGCGTCGTGCGTTATTCGTGCGACCGGGATGTGGATGGAAGAAGATGAGGGAAGACCAAGCGATGACTCGTTCAATAGGAATTAAGGCCTCACTTCGAAGTTGGCTTTGGTTAGCGTCTCCCGACTGCCTGGCTGGGTCCGAGGGACGATGGACCCCTTTGTTTGGGTACACTTGTTGACATAGAGAGGAGTCAACTTCAATGGCGTTTGTTCCAGGCTTATTTCCCCCTTCCCTCCCCCCTCCAACTCGACGCATTATATTATCCTTAGTATCAAGTTACTTGTCTTTATTTTTCTAGTCTGCTGTGTTTAATCTATTATCTTTTTACTGCGACATCTTAGCTGTGGTGTGTTTCTCACCCTCAGCTAACGTCTATTCACAAGGAAGACGATGGGTGGACCGTTCGGTTTGTTTACTGTCAACCATGAAACACCGCGTCCCGCCTTATCGGCTAGAACGGAAGTTCCACTTGGTGGTCAGCCGACAGAACCTCATGGCACAGACGGTGTGACTTCTTCGGAGTTCATCCTAGCCTCTTTGTGCAGCACTTTGGATGTCCAGAATCGAGTTGTCACACTATCTTCAGTACATGTTTTGCTCTTCAGCGTGCAAGTTACCGGTGCCTAACATGGTTGACAAGTTGTCGTCGAGCTCTCCGAACCACGGCTCGAGATGTCTTAGTTACGAGCATGGATTCAATTACTTGAATCACCTGAATTCGCCCTGCTTATCAACAGGGCCCTTTATACTTTTTTAACGCCGCTTCACATATGTGCATAAGCATTTCTCGTCTTATCGGTCAAGAATTTGGGGTGTTATGCAACCGTGCAGCCAGCAATTTTGTCAGCTTGAAGCACAAGTTTGTCGCTTATTTTCGATTTCTTAGACTTTACACCTTGCCCATAAATGCCTTGGTGGCATTCTTTTCATCCTGTGAAATCACTAACCGACTGATTTTGATGCCCATGCATCCTTTGATGTCACAGTGAGTCCAGTTTTTGATTCTAGGCAATTGCCTTGACTAGGCTACTTTTTGCGCACGATATGTCTTGATGACACCTAGGAACTGTCAGTGGCAAAACGGTTACAACTTCAGCAGCGTGTAACGCACCTAGAACACTAAATGAGTCAAATCGTAAGTGGACGGAGACCAACGAAAGCAACTCCACAAATAAACTTAGAACTGGTGGATTAATTCAAGGTTACGTCCGGTGGAAACTTCGGTGCTGTTGAGTAAACAAAAGAACATCCACCAAAGGATTCATCTTTTCGGTGTCCATACAGCAAAGGTAGAAGCAGTCCCTGCGACGAAACCAAGACTGTCTGTTGCAAGGCCAGTGAGACTGTACACATGGCTGTAGCCGAACCAAAGTCATTGACGTGGGTGCCGAATTCATGTGGGAGCAAGGATTGGCCAACCAAACATGACTGCAAAAAAAACTGTCGCACGGGCAAGTACACGCGCGATCTGTTATTACTCAGTTGGAAGATCCGGGGGGTCCAGGCAACTGTTGATGGGCGTGACGGAAGGTACAATGAACGCAGTTACTCCCAACGGGCTAAGATTGGGTCGCAAGCGACATTCGGCAGGTGTTTGGTCATTTGGTGTCCGGAATCGGGGACAGAGCAGTTTGGTGGGCAGCATATGTGAGCAAAGGCATTAACTTGAAAGTTCACTATTTCCTTACGATGGTCGGGGTTGTGGTGCTCAGCAAGTGCAACGTGGATATGATTAGTCATTCGACTAACCCGCCCTCTACACGGGCTACTGGTTATGAAAATTAAAATGTATATTCCCGATGTTACGCGAGGCACATCAAAGGATGCATGATCAGTTTTATACAAGCAAATATGCGACAGTTTCCATTTGCTCAAATATTAGTCTTGACAAAGTACGTAAGTAAATTCATGAGATGTGGTTGTACTAACTGTTTCCATGTTGAAATAGCAAATTGTTTTCCGAAGGCGGTGTCGGTAGGCACGAATGATGGTATTGATATTTTTCGCAACTAAATGTTGAATCAATGACTTAACTTGACTTTCGGTAAGTTTAAATGGTTTGACCTCGAACCAATTGCTTGCATTACTATCCCCAGTCACCTGTTGTCCATTTTTCGCCCACTGTCATATTCCCTGGCGTCAGCTCTTGCACCTCGTTGAATTCCCATCCGTATCTAGTTGAGGGAACTCCATCTTCTTGCACTGATGTCTCGGTGATCCGTCACATTGATGAACCACGATTGTTCGTGACACCACGTGATTGATAAACCACTAACCTGCATATATCTTGTCTTTTTCAGGAACTTGCATTCGCATTTTTCGTTCCTCCGTCCTTTAATTCTATGTAGGTTCGAGTTGAAGCCAAATTGCTAAGATTGCTCTATTTTATAGTTGATGATTGATTGACCAAAGTGGATTGGGCTTCACCTTATCTTCGTTTTGCTCTAGGAACACTTTATTAAGACACATGGCTGATCTTTTATCGGTCGCCACATTCCTCCTATCAAGTCCTCCTTGATTTTACCATCCTAATTGGTCTAACTCACATTTTCTACCTGCCGCATTTGTGGAGTGCCATTGGACATCGTAACCTACGTACTTGACCTCAATTTTTACAGTGATTTGAAACTAGTCTTGTTTTTCATACGTGGTACCTTGATTTTTGCGAGTTTGACGGTTGTGCACACATGTTTACCTATTCCTTCAGGTCGTGCTCATTTTTGAAAAGTCCTTCTGGGACCGCTCCCAAAACCTCTTCGGCCACCTCAACTCCTCCCCAGAATCCCGTGGAGAGTTGTTCCTTTTCTGGTCCATTCCCGACCGTCCAGTTCTAATTGCTTTGGTCGCGGGTCGTGCGGCAGTTGACTTGGAACGATCGCGTCCTTCACCTATCCGCTCATCTCCTGGGTCACGTCTATCCACACCCGGAGGAACTAGCTTGAAATCCCATTCATCCGGGGGTATCGCACCGTCTGCTACATTACAAGAGCCAATCGTAGCCAAAGCCATGCACATTCTGCGTGGCATTTTCGGTTCGTCGGATAGTTCAACCCCTTCTTACGGTGGACAGAACCAGTGCGAGCGGAGAAGGATTATCCCACATGTGCGTCAAAATCACTATCAATCACTATAAAATTGGCATCTTTAATCCCAACGTTCCTTTGCGACAACGCTTCGGCATATCCCAAGCGTTTAAGCCGGTTGAATTTATAGATTCCAACCACCTTGCATTAGTTGCTTTGCATATCCGAATTTTGATCATGATTACTCTGCTATTTACATAATGCATTGTTGCTTTGGATGCCTCTGTTTATATGTGTGTGTACCTGCGCACTCCTGACTCTTCGTCGTTATACTCCATTTTTCACTAGCCCATTGACGCGATCGTCACCCGCTGGTACTCTGATCCGGACTCTCGTGGCTCATATTCTTATGTGAAAGTAGGCGCCACCGGCTCGGATTACGATTTGCTGGGCGACTCAGTGTGCCCAACCATCAGCTCTGTGGACCCACTGAGCCAGATAAAAACCAGTCCTAGTCCTAAGAAGTCCTATATCTCTGCCAACATGCCCCGCTTGTTCTTCGCTGGCGAACACACGTGTCGCTGCTATCCAGCCACTGTGCACGGAGCCATGCTCACAGGACTGCGTGAGGCCGCACGTGTGGCCAACGCATACTTTCCTGGTCCGACTCCAATTCTGCATCATAATCTGAAGCTCAGCGTTCCTGCCTCTCAGAGCGTTTGACTTTTTCGTTCCCCGTCGTATTTATCGAGCTCAATTTCGCTGTACATTTCCCGTACCATCTCTCCCTCTTCACTTCTGTTATCTGAAGACCCCTATGATATTTGTGCGCGATCTGACTATACTTATGCATTTTTACTTTTACAGTCTTCCGCTTGCTAACCTCGACTTATCACCAGTGCTCACTTTTCACAAGCACACTTGTCATACCAATCGGTTCATTGTTTTGTATCCTGGCTTTCTCTGCGAATGAACCCTGACTGATGGAGGGCCGAAACGATGTTCCGCTAGTTGAAGCCTTGTAGATGACCTAAAAGCTTCCTTGACTATTGTTTGTTCCGAAACGTCCAGTGCTCTCTACAATGTTGGATTTAGTTCGTCGCGATCCCCTCTCATTCACCGAGGATCCCATACGCCTAGAAAAACACCAGACAGCTGGTTCGACCTTATGGGTCACGTCAGTCGTGCGCGTTCCTCGGTCTTCCGTCTGGTTCCGACCCCATGACTTCCCTATGCCATTAGCTTGTGCCACTAAGCCATGGGTGACGGCGGCGGACCTGCATGATTGGCTACGATATAGCGTTGCTCATCACTGTCATGCAAATTACGAACTGTGCTCGGGACAGTGCTTGACCCCAGAGCTACAACTTTCCGTACAGCAGCTCTGTACAATATAGCACTTAGGAACTTTACAGCCGAATTTTTGATTGATTATGAGTAATGTGGATTCTCGTGTAATTTTAGCTGCATTTCGTCACTGTCCGCCACCGTCACCCATGGATCAGTGGTATTGGCTGCTGGCATACGGAAGTCAGAATCCGGCGGAAACTAAGGAACATGTGCCACTGACGAGGCCCAGAAGGTCGAAATAGCTGTCTGGTGCATTTCGAGCTGTGTGATAGCCTGTTTAACTGGGAGCGGACTGCGATGCATTACATTTAAAACCACACCAAAATCCCCACTAGTCATATGTATCTACAATGTATTATCCAAGGGCAAATACAAATTTCCATACTGCGGAATGGCAAGTCACTTGACCCATTAGTGTTCATGTGTAAATCATCGCGTCCCACGTGATCGGAGAGGCTGATGGGCATCCAGGACATAGTGGTGTTTGCTTCGGTCTCATAATCTCTGTCCTTGACTGGAGTTGCCGCTTTTTTATCGGTTTGGAAGTCCTTGTCGTATCGTAATTCACGTGAAGTTGCCTGCCGTACCCACGCAGTCGCAGTGCGCCAGTAGCGACAAACTACTAGACATTGTCCTAACTGCACCAGAGGTCTTCACAGTGATGGCAACTTTGAAACCCTTCAGACAGCCATTCCCGATAATCTTAAGCATCAAGGTCCTCATCGTCATTCGCTGCTTTGCTTCTGTATCTTGTAACGGATTCCTTCGACAGGTCATTTCAGGAAGACAAGTGATCACGCGATTGGAAAGAAGTGCCCGTCGTTGTAATCAACAAAGATGCTCCAAATCACTGCTAGCCAGTGATAGAAAGCGTAAGGCATTTGACTTGTAGTCCAGAGGTCACCTGTTCGAATCAGCGCAGATGCAGACCATTTGGCGGTATAGTCAACCTACGGCGGGGAAGCGTCGCCACGGCGTACCGACGTACTTTTCTGCCTCAACTATACGCCTTTGGTTTGACTAGTGTTCTACAGGAGTGCTTGACAAAGCTTTGATAAAACCGGATTTGTGAGCGCTTGACTGTTTGCAGCCTAAGTAAATCGGGACAGCATGACTTCGTTAGGAATTAGTCATGCCTCAATGATTTATTGCTTTTTTAAATGAGTTTACTAACCATCCCCATAGTTGGGTGTCAGCGTAGTTGTGCTACCTAGACTTCAATAAAGCTTTTGTCTCCCGGAGTCATCGCTTCAGTGTATAGTATGATATTCAGCATTATAGTACAATATTTTGCAATCTAATGTCTGATATTTTTTATGAGGCACATTAGCTGAGGTGTGTTTTTTGCCCTCAGTTAACGTTTATTGATGGTTATCGCTTCCTACTGGAAACTTTGATATTGTTTGGATTGCATCTCAAACCGCTATCTTGGTTGTCGGTATTCTTGTGCTGTAAGCAGTTAGAGTCGGTGTGTTGAGCTTTAGTGTCAGTTTTGCGGATAGCATTAACTCCCAGGGTAAGTTGCCGGGCTTGCTACTGTTTCTGGTATTTACAAACGGGCTATCTGATTTTCCGAAGAACTCCTGTTACATTTTTGCAATATCTCTGGAGCTTGTCGCCTCGGCCACTCGAGCCACTAACTGCAAATATTGCCAGCTTAATGAATTGATCAAACTCATGAATTTTATCCATGCTTGTCCGCTACTGACCTCCGATGGGGTTAGGATTATGATACAGACTTATGAAAAATCCCCTTCATTGTTAAGTGCTGATGGAGCACCTGCTCTAGGTACCATCATGGTCAACAATGTTCGACGCTCATTTCAGTGCCACCGCGCTGCATACAAAATGTAACGAGTTATTTCGCTTCATGAGGTTTGTATTGCAATATGACCGTTAGTTTCTTTGCCACTGTATAGGGCAGTGACTAGGCGACACCTAGAGTGCTGTTTTCAGGCCTGGATGCTTTATCTAAGTTATTACGTTACTTGTATGAAATTAACAACCAGGATGCTTGTGTGTCAACGTAGGAATTCACATGGGATCGTTTAAGGAGGTTAGGTTTGTTTCACCTGAAATGATGTAGGATGAAAATCTGACGGAGAAATTTAAGCTCATGACGAACTTTATTTATTTAATATATATATATATATATATATCTTTTATTCTGGGCAATACGAAATACGCCCGCATAGGCACGATCATGGTGATGCAAACCCTAAGGACTGGTAAATGTAAATAACGGTGCAACTTTATCAGTGGCATTTGGATCCATGTGCTAAGTGGATAGGAATATGTGTGGTTGTGTTACTTGTATTTGGACATGTGACCCCCTATTTGTGATTGATTTCGATCAGGTCGTCGGCGTGAGAAGGGATAAAATGAAATTTTCCTATTGGATAACTGATTTCCGTGGACTGGGTACTATCACCCAGAAATATTATCAAGTTTACCGATGTGTGCAAATTAACTGCATCGGAGTAACTGAGTTGACAACGCTTGTAGTTCACATAACAATCGTTTGTGATGGGAAAAAGCTTAGACTTAACGTGTCCCATAGGTTGGTTGTGGAAAGAATGATAAATTCGAATAATACACAAGTGGACCAAATAATATTCGGAACAGCGTAGGGACAGAGTAGTGCCATGTAAGTGGCTTTGTGAAGTGCGATTGTATCATGAAACCGGAAAAACAAACTACTATTCTTAATGCCTATTGCAACTAACGATCGGCTTACTCATCTACCCGCACACATTTACATGCGTCGCTGTGAGTTATAATTCTGAGGTTAGCATAAATATATCCCGCAATAGCCGTTCACTTAATTAAGTGTACGGAGCTCAATATGACATCGAAGCGTCTTTTGAAAATGGCTAAGGTGGGGCACAGACAATTGAGTTTGGGAGGGCGTTCCACGGGTGGCACATTGGGCAGGAGGATTAAGTTTGTAGACTATCCAGACCTGGGTCACCAAACTACGGCCAGCGACGTCCGTTTATCCGGCCTTCCAACTGTACTCGAATTTACTTGGGAGAACGTGACGTCCTATTACAGCCCAAATTTGACACTGCATGTCATGTTGTCAATGGTCTTTTGTTATGTAAGCACTAGCGTGAGCCAGCTAATGGTTGTTACCTGTGACACCGTACTATCGTACTGTCAGCAGCTTACGTCGTTGAAATATTGATGTGGGCGATCGCGGATGAATCCCATTCCTCCGTGAGCCCTAATATATTCCTCTTTACCTCACACATTTGTACCGCAGCTCCCTTTGGGCAAACCCCTTGAAGCACGTGTCATAAAAAACGAGGTTTATTAAAATGCCATTGTTTTCGGTATGTCATACTAAAGTCATATTAGTAAGTTTTTACATGAATTCCAAGTTGTCAGTATTGCATTACTCCCGAAACGCACATTATCGAGGTTCGTACATTCTAGTATTGTTAAAAGGATTTAAGCAGCACTGGTTTCCAGTTCAAGCGTCGTTGCTTTGTCACTGGCAGGAACGCTTTACTCAAGCCTCCCAAGCTATATATATATATATCTGTATATATATATATATATATATATATATATATATATATATATATATATATATATATATATATATATATATATATATATATATATATATATATATATATATATACATATATATATGGTTGGCGGCATCCGGTTTCGGATTTGCCTGTCACTGTGGCAAGCCACAGGACGCCTGCGCCTACAGAGGGACCATGGATGGCCTGCGCTGCACCACCCACAACTCCATCCACACACCCCATATCCAGTGTAAACCCGAAGGAATAAGACCGGGAGGCATGCGGATGGGAGCCACGTTTCATCAACAGAGCCGGCCCACACTCCTTCACAGGCAAACACAAGCACGCTGTATTTGGGGAATCAACCGCACACAAGGCGATGGCTGGACCGTAGTCCGCTCCACACTGAGTGCATGGAACCACTCTTCGAGCCTAGCTCGACCACAAGGACCGTGCACCCCGTCCCCTCCAGCAACGACCAACTGTCTCCTGGAGCCAGTATGGACGAGGTAGTGGGTAATAGACAGGTAGGCACCTTGTCAACATGCACTTCAAGCGCAGCCACACCTGGGATGTCAAACAACAGCCAATCATTCGAAATGCCGAGATCGAATAAAGTAAACACATATGACGACATAAATACTCGCTAAATGAGCATATGGAAGAAGGTGGTTAAATGTGAATACGCGATAAGTACAAAATGTCTGAAAGTTAGTTAAAACATTCCAAGCGCGATAAAATTACGCAAGGCTACCACAATTTGCATGAGCGACGTGTGTCAGTTGGGAGAAGATTATCAAGTATGCAGAATAAACCCAATAAAATGTAATGAAT